CTTCAAGTCGTTAAGTTAGAAGAAGTAGAAAAAGTTTCGACTATCATTGAATTGGAACCGAATTGGCCCAATAGACCAGACATATTTCTCAACATGCGTAGGGAAGCTAGAATTCCAGAACATGAGCTGGAAACGTATTTTTTACGATTTTAGGAGCTCAAAAACTAGTTTTCTATGTTTTCAGCACAGTTAGATTTAGCCTTTTTTTCATCCTACTCTTGAAAATCGTCCTGTTTCCGGTTTGAGCAAGCCATCTTGCCTAGTGGTAGAATGTGCTGTTGAAGGATGGAGAGTAGTCTTCCCATTTTTTGTGGATGATGTAGTTTGAAGCCACCCGTTCTCCCTTTTCCGGGACGAAGAACACAACATTCACCGGGTCCAAGCTCAGTTTCATTTTTTAGAAGTTGGAAACCGGAGGCGAAATCATTTGGGTACACCTAAAAATCAAATGGTGCTAACCAAGTGTTTTTAGGCAATCCATACTTTACTTTCCCGTTATCCCCACTTTAAAATCTGTTGCAGAAAACACCAGCTAAACCAGCTCCTAAAGTTGCTACGCCGGCTGTGAAGAAAGCGGCGTCATCATCAAGCAGTTCCGACTCCGAGGATGAACCCGCACCAAAGGTTCGTTGTGCTACATGCTCTTGTTTTCCAGTCTTAATGTGTACGGTTTCGCTTGGTGCGTTCGCGGCGGACGAAAAGCGCCGAGAGCTTTCATTTGTCGTTATCCGCAAAACCTCCCGTGTTTCATTTTTTCTAACATTTTTGTTACATTTATCTCTCGACAAGTTTTCGTAGAATTTTTGGTAGACAAAGTAGGTTTTCTTAACTTTTCGAGGTTGATTGGTATCTGACAGGGAGGATCTGTAGAAATTATATACAAATAATAATGCATACAAGTGATGCTAGGAACATTTATATTTGTGTGTTTCTTTTGTGATTTTTCTCTAATTTCGCTGAAAAATTTCTGTCTTTTCACTCTTGGAAGGAGCTGATTTTGATGCAGACGCTGACTTACACGACTACGTCATCCATATCAGCTTTCTCATCAAAACAACCTCTTTCAAAAAACCAATCCACTGTGAAAAAAAGGAGAAAAAAACATAAAAAAGCCTGCCAAAAAGGCGCATGTACTGCTTTATTGGCGCATTATTTCTATCTTGTTTGCATTATTATTTATATCTAATTGTTAGTGGAAAAAGAGAAAAAGCCAAGAAAATCAAGCGAAATGCGCCTTTACTCCTGGAGATACGCGAATCTGCGGAAGAGGAGTTTTTGCATTTACTCTCGGAAGTGAACGCCGTCACAACGTGTTAATGGTTTCTTTCGATTGGGAACGTTTTCCTTAGAGACCTTCAGCAGGCGTAGATAATCTGATCAGAGTTAGGGCAGAGAGGTGCAGGAGCAGCATGGCATGGCGAAAGTGATGTTCAGATGGCACGAATTACGAAGGCATGTCAAGAGGCAGTTTCTATACTACGACTTCTAAACACATTTTTAGCCCTTTTCCTCCTCTTGCGACTGAACTCGTTGCCCCAATCAATATGCAAATAGGCGAAGAAACTGAGATCAAAGCCACTCAGTCATAAATTTATTGCCGTCTTTTTTCCAACCTAGTATATACACCGTTTGCCTTTGTGATCTTCCTGTTCAACGATTTCTTTCTAGAAAACGCCAGCTAAGCCCACGCCCAAAGCTGCTGCGCCGGCTGCAAAGAAAGCGGCATCATCGTCTAGTAGTTCCGACTCTGAAGATGAGCTGCAGTAAAGGTTCGTCATGCATACGCTTTTCTTATTCTTTTTTTTTGCAACTCGTGTTTAGAAAACGCCAGCTAAGCCAGCGCCAAAAGTTGCTACACCGGCTGCAAAGAAAGCGGCGTCATCATCGAGCAGTTCTGACTCCGAAGATGAACCCGCAGCAAAGGTTAGTCGTGCCATATTTTTTGTTTTCTATTTCCAACGATTTCTTTCAGAAAACTCTAGCTAAGCTGACGCCAAAGCTGCTACACCGGCTGCAAAGAAAGCGGCGTCGTCATCGAGTAGTTCCGACTCTGAAGATGAAAATGCAGTTAAGGTCCGTCATGCATATGCTTTTCTTATTCTCTTTCTTTAAAAACTCGTATTTAGAAAACGCCAGCTAAGCCGACGCCAAAAGCTGCTACACCGGCTGCAAAGAAAGCAGCGTCATCATCGAGTAGTTCTGACTCCGAAGACGAACCCGCAGCAAAGGTTCGTCGTGCTAAATGCTTTTTTATTTGCCATTCTCACAAAATCTCTGCAGAAAACGCCAGCTAAGCCAGCTCCTAAAGTTGCTACGCCAGCTGCCAAGAAGCCAGCGTCATCATCAAGCAGTTCGGACTCTGAAGATGATTCTGCAGCCAAGGTTGGGTGTGTTACTCATGGTCATTTTCGCTGCAGACGCTGGTGTGTCAGAATAGGGGCTTGTTTTGGCGTCCGGTTTGTTTCCAACTTGTTACTGTTGCTTCTCTGCTTCAGTGATTGGTGCACAGACGGGCGCCGCCCAGAACCCAGCTTTGTGACACACCTCAGCGTCTGCAGCGAAAGCAACTGTATTTGTTCTTGCACTCAAGGTGCGCCATGAAAGGTAGTGACTGGAACATACTCATCCGACTATGCTGATGCAGAAAAAGTCAATCGTATCTGTTCCGGGTCCGACTTAAAAGCAGTTGGCATGAAATCCCCAAGGCGACTAGGATCAATACTCCTGGCAGGATAGAATTCCGCGACCCTGGGCAGGCGCTGCATAGTGGTTTATCCGAGGAAGGTGCCCCTATAAGGGCCCTATTAAGCATGCATACATGGGTACACATATGCAGCCCATCCTTCGGTAGCGGTGATTGGTAAGATGCCTACGGGAAACTCGTCCGAAATCGATTTACAAGTCACTGAGAACGGAGGCTTTTTTTGTTCGCGTACATATGCTTTTCTTATTCTCTTTTTTTAAACTCGTATTTAGAAAACGCCAGCTAAGCCGACGCCAAAAGCTGCTACACCAGCTGCCAAGAAGCCAGCGTCATCATCAAGCAGTTCGGACTCCGAAGATGAGCCCGCAGTGAAGGTTCGCCTTGCTATACTCCCTTATTTTCTATGTTCAAGGGTTTCTTTGTAGAAAACTCCAGCTAAGCCGACGCCAAAAGCTGCTACACCGGCTGCAAAGAAGGCGGGGTCATCATCGAGTAGTTCCGACTCTGAAGATGAACCAGCAGTGAAGGTTCGTGATGCTGTGTCCTTTTGTTTTCGGTTTTCAGCTATTTCTTTGTATCGAAACCCATACAATTGAGACTCTTCTTTTCTTTCGAACTATGCTGACGAAGTTTCGGGCGAAGCCCTTGCTCTGGTCACTGAATTATAAAAACAAGCTGTACTCTGCACGCACAGGAGTTTTACCATCGATAATAACCAGAAAAGCAGCAACTCCCTACCCTGGATCGTATGGGATGAGAGTTACCAAACCGTGCTATGCGCACATTGGCAGTAAAAAGTGTTATTGTCCTGGGTATATATCATGCAGGACAAGGGTGATCTATGAATTGCCACTTCCGTCTTCTGTTTTGTTTCTGTTGTTTTCCCTTATTCCTCTCATCTGAATCTACCGCATTTCTGGCGACCCAATTTTGAGCGGCCTGTTGTACAAGCCGTATTATACGATGCCTCGAGAGTGGACTGTTAGTGTATTTCTATTGACTACGTAGAAATCTTATGTGCGACGCCATTCTCTGGTGTAGTGACCTCGATGTTTCTGCCATGTAAAATTCTGACACGAAAGGCTTTCCAGCTTTACACGCCGTATTTTTCTTGACACACCTTGTAAAACGGTGATACAGTATAGGGCTCGCGAAGACCAAGCTTTATTTAGCCCACTCGCTACTAGGACGTCAGTCAGTAAAGCTGAACATCACTCTAGCTTCCCATCATGCCTTAGCCAACAAGCCTCAAATTCATATGAGATAGGATGCTTGAGCACAGATTGAGACAAGCTTCAACGTGTGTATTCGAGCTTCGCCTTCTGACTCTCCTGGTCTTTGCGTTTTGCGGTCTTCTTGTGTGCTGCTTCTCTACAAAAAAACTTTTACTGATACAATACAGATACAAAGAAGTAATCTTAATAAGTGGTGCAGTGCGGTAATGTTGAAGTGATCGCTGCCGCGATACCTTGTGTTCTTTACGCATCGCATAGTTTGCTCTCTCACGCCGATTTTCATAGGGTCGCGATGAGGTGAGAAGACGTTGGAAAGTGGGTAGTTGAACCAGGCTTACAGGAAGCCGTGACCCCTTGTCGACGCAATATATCACCAGTCGCAAACGAGTCGCTGATAAGGGGCAAAGGGAACGCAAGATGATCGAAATTCTCCAGCATGGAATTGTTGCTTCGTGTATCTTGTCGTAGAATGTTCTCTATCCTTCATGTTCGTGGAGGTCAGCCCGCATCAGGTAGTGATGATATGGCGGATCAGTTCATCTTCATGTGAAGGAGATGGCAACGTCCCGCGTGAATGGAAATGTTACAATATGCCATTTTGTACCACATATTGCTGATCCGACCTTCCGACACCTTGAACTTCGTGTTCGAAAATGGGATAAAACCATTGGCAGATGGGCACTCGGCTGTTAGCTTTACCGATTGATATTTGATTGATCTCTATAGCTGTTTGTGGTAGTGCTGTTTGCCATCTTCTAGCAATGAAAATTTCGTAGATATAACGTTCAGAATGTAATACTACGGATAACATCACGCCGTTCTTTGAACGCTATCCATAAATATGATTACGAGTAGTGGAGCCAATCTGCTACCCTTGGCAACACCTGTTGCCTATCTGTAGAAGATGTTTTTGAAGCAGAATATGTTCAATCACGCTTCGGAAGAATGCCTGATAAAGATAATGTCTCCTTTGTTTCACTGTTTAGACTCAAGCGGGTGAGTTACTGGTGGTGTAAACGCAAGAGATGCATACATGCTCCCATGCTCCCCTGGGTATCAACGTTGGTGAAAAGTGCAACTACGTCGAAGCTTTCATATCCTAATCGTGGTTTGTCATGAAAGTCCAATTTTTTTCGAAAATACTGGTTTCGGACAAAAGCTTGGGCCAAGATCAACATTACCGGTACGTCGTTATTCACACAGTCGTGATCGATAACCATGCATCGACGTGTTGGAATGAAGAATGGTGGCAATGTAGCGTTGTTCGCCTTAGTCTCTGCTGTATTAGCTGTTTAAGCTGCTCGCAAGTTGAACTGTGATAGCCAGTTAGTCGTAGCCAGCATTTCGTGTTCATTCGTGGTCTAAGCATCGCTTTCATATGACCAATATTCCCAAGGTAGTTCTTTATCGTTCGTCGTTGGTCTGCTATGGTGGCGTTTGGGAGGCGTTGGAGCTACTTGACAGCATGCCAGACATTGTCTTAATGGACCGGTGAAAACGAGGAAGCATGCGGAGAAGAAACTCAGGGGCTATGTCGTATGACATCCGTTCGAGAAGAAGGTCCACGGACAAGTCGAGGGAATGCGTTCATGAGAAGCTACATAATACAGCAAAAGATTTCTTACTTGGGTGATAATGAACTTGCCCGGTGCTCGAAATGAGGTAATTTAGATGGTTCGCTGAGCTTCTCGTATTGAAACTTATTATTGTATTTGAAATGAGAGAAGCTCTTCGCTTCCTTTCACACACACACACACACACACACACACACACAC